GAGCAAGACAATAAATAGTTAGGAATTAGCTTTAAACTCTACCTGATATGTTTGAGTTCAGGCTATTTTTGATTTTAGAATAAGGCGAGAGTTCATGAGGCAAGTTAGTGCGTGATGAGAAATTAATGACTTAGAAGACAGATTTTGAAGCTTCTTGCGCTTTGACTTATAAATTTTCATTTGTATCCAAAAGCACACAAAAGTTTTAGATCAGTCTTTCTTCTCAATCTTACATAAAAATATGAGTCCCCAACATAATCCAATCCTTAATGTGTTCAGTTCACTTTGTCAATGCCAAGGGTTTTTTCATGAAATAAGTTTAATAAGCTGCTTTAGGCTAATAACGAATATAACATTTATTATCATTTAAATATGAGGACGTTCAGGTTTTTATATCAGCGTGCCGGGAAGCGAACGAGCAATTTCTGGGAAATGCGACGGAGGAGTCGGTGTTCACATGGCAGGTGAACAGCTCGGATCTGGATTCTTTAATGCAAAATGGAAAATGTGGTGATGGCAGTGCTAATACAACAAGTTTCCTAGTGCGTCTTCACTGCTGGACTGAACAGGCCTCCGGCGTACTTTTTTTCCAGCGTGACAGTACGTATTGCCATCTAAACAACATTTCAGGAAGCAGGACATTCTGGAACATCTTTAAAGAGAAGTTATTGGTGCCAGCCTTCTAAGACTAGCTGTCCTCTTCTTTCTTTTGTTGGTAAATAAAAAACCGTCACAGCAAGACAATACATACTCGGGAAGTATCTTTGAATGAAAAAAAATTATATAATTTTTTTGATGAGCTGATATCTTTTGTTGTTTCATTCTTCTGAATTCTTCGGCTGCAACATGCTGGATTTTTTCTGCTTCATTTTTGCCCACGTCCAGCCCTTCCGACGCATACGGTAGATGGAGTGGAATGTACTCTGATTTAGTTCTATATATAATATTTTTTGTGGAGTTTTTGTAGTTAAAAAAGTTTCCAGGAAGAGACAAAGGAAACCTACACAGCAGCAAGCACTTTAAAAACGAGCCACAATTAATGTTCAGAACCAGCCTGAGTTTGAGCGACGGTGAAACACGTACATTTGGCGCTGCCGTACCAAATGTTAATCGTGGCTTGCAAATCCTGCTCAATGTTACGTAAGCGCTCATTCCCTTTGATCGAAATCATTTTTCTTCGCTTTCATGTATTTCTACATTTGTATTAATGCAAACGCAATAAGCCAAAGCTTAATTCCAAATTTACAAAAGCTGACTATACTGTCTGTCATATGCAAGTTCACAAACGTAAAATCAACACGCATTCTCTTCTGTGTAATGCAGCAA